ATGCATCCAAATTTTTTTTGACTCGTGTAGCAAACTTCGCGAAGATGTAGGCGCTCTCGCTTTCTCAAAGTATACCTTGTTGTATAGTATTTTGATGTCCTGGCCCAATATGTGATGGCTGCTTTCCTTCAAGCTAATTGGCTGGGTCATTGTTGTGTGCTGATCCGTCGACATTGCTTTGATGGTTATATCAGCCGCAAAATACTGCGACTGCAAAAAATATAAATCATATGAAAATGCGGCACTACTCTCGGAACACCACTATTTGACAGCGAGTGTAAACATGCATGAAAATTTTAAAAAAACCCCAAAGATGAATGCAGAAAAACTTTTTTAATACAGACAATCGCAAATCTATGGAGGACAAACTACGGCAAAAATCGACGTTATTGCAGCGAAACAGTTTTTTTAAACAATTATTTCCTCCGGCAAAACCCTGTATCCGAGAACAGTATTTTTTTCTGGTAAACTTCCTTCCCACATCCATTCGCTTTCTTCCCGACCCTCCCTCTCCGTGTTTGCTCCATTTGAAAAGCCGGTGAAGTCGAAAGTAGCCCGAGTAGTTTCGCATGCTAGTAGCAACTACCAACGGACAAAGACTGGAGATGGCTCCCTCTTTTGAAGGTTGCTTTCAAGCAAACCGGGTGTCATTTTGACTTCCTGGCATTGGTAATCATAAAATCAACATTTAGATATCAATAAAAATCACCAGCAGTAGATGAAATTTTTACAAATATTGTCAGTTTTTAAACGGATTTATAGAACTAGCACGAAGTTATTGGAAACCCTTACGATCCCTTCTCTTCACCCTCTATGGTAGTGCCGGAAACGTACCATCCGCAGTGTTGTATTTTCAACAAAATCAGCGGCTTTCTGTCCCATCATTGTTGCAAAGCCTTCGTTAAGCCACAAATCGTTCCACCAACGCATTGTTGCCAAATTACCAAACCACTTAAATTATCCAAAATTGATGCAGTAAGAAATTTACTGAGAAAACTAACTTCAAATTTAAAAATTTCTAAGCACTCTAAGAGAGTGCTGTCATCCGGTTGAACCAACATTCAGGGCTATTTTTTCTCCGTTACTGCCTACTACGGCCACTGATGACCGTCTTAACACACTTTTTATGCATTGAGCTCTGCCTGGCTCGAATTCAGTGCTTTGGCCAATTGACTTTGTTCAAAGAAGGCGTCAAGATAGAGTAGCAAAAACGGAAATATTAGTTATTGATTTTTCAGCCTTGGAATTTCTGAAGAAAATTATTAGGATAAAAGAGCAGGTGCACACATGAACATAAGAGCCAGTGCAAGCAATGCGTTTTAATACTGTTTGCAAGAGAGTGTGGAAGGAAGCCGTTTTTCTTCTACCGCTGATATTTCGTTTATTGTATGCAGTACGAGGTACTCGCAAAAATTAAAGAAGCAGTGATAATGCGCATGCGTCGACAACAGTAGAAGCTGGAGAATTACCATATGTGCGATTTCATGTGCAAGAACATCGGTAACAACCCTTCTTTCTCGCAAACTATTCAGGCGCTGATTGTAATCCACAAGCTTCTGGCGAACAGTAATCAGGCCCCAATTTTCCATTGCCAAAACGCGCAGTTCGGGTACCGCGAACACATCTGATAAAATAAAACTGATTAACAGATGCTGCAGTGCGCAAAGTCGTATGCATTTGCTCTAGCATGCTGCGTGAATGAAGGATTATTAGCTGCTACAGATATACTCTGGAAATTCGCACTTCAGCATCCCAACAAACAAAAAATTTAGCAAGATTTACAAAATATTAATCTTTTTAGCATGTATTTAATCAAAAACACTCAAAAAACAGTTCTCTTTAGTTACGCCTTATGATAGCATCATGCATGCAATTGTTAGCGGTGGACACTTGCATGGCCACTGATGCACTTATCGATTTCGGTAGTTCCATATTGGTATGTCACTCTGTAGATGTTCTTCAGGCACTCCTAGGAAGAAAAACAATCAGAAATTTTTGTTCTTTTTCGAAGAAGCATGTGACTGCTAACCTAGCTTCTTGAGCGGATACGGAATGGAAAAAAAATTTTCATAATACATCAATAGCCGGCAAACGATATGAAGCGCATAATCAACATTATCCACTTTGGCTGGCTGGCACCAAACCCGGATCTGTAATTAAAGTCTAATGTTGCTTCAAAAGGTCATTTAAAAATAATGCGTCATCTATTCATTCATCATCAGTTCATTCAGGAAGCTCTTCTCCTGTTTCCTTATTGAAAAATCATCCTAATTGTGCTAGCATGCATAGCTTGGAGACTTATGAAAATACATACTTCAATATTACGGCAGTGACGAAATTTGAATACGAAATCGCTAACAGCAAGAGCCAATAAATATGTCGACATGACGGGCGTTCTTTCGAATTCCGTCTCGCTCCATAATCTGTACAGATGAATTAGCAATGATATAGCCAGGAAACGACTTATTTAAAAAAAAAAAAACGCATTCTCAAAGCTTGGGATTGTTGGGCAACAACAAAAAACTGCCCTGCAACTTCAGGATATCATGAAGCTGAAGTTTTCTGCTTGGACGATTAGTTCGTTAAAATGCATCACCGCTTAAAAATTATGAATTTATTAGATTGCGTGACTATGCGTCTTTTTACACCCTGAAAGGCAATTTACATAAATGCATAATTTGAGCGATTCGACAAACGTCACGTAAGGCGCAAGTGAAAACTCTGCAGAGGATAGCGGAAGAACACGATAGGTTAAAAACTCTGCTGCCGGTGCAGATGCATTTGGCCAGTTGTGTGACACACAGTAAACACTCCAAAAAATGAATTTTTGTGGCGATCGAACAGCCCGT